CGGAGGCATCCTGCTGCTCTGCCTCCATTCCTTTCCGGTAGCTTTACATCTTTATGCCTTGGATTGCCCTGGTTTTTCTTGTGCTTCCCAGAAGAGATGTGAAATAAGTTCTGTTCAGTCGCTGTGTCAGATCTTCTGGAATTTCACATGCTCAGAGCTCATCGGTAGTACAGCTGCTGCAGACAGCTTTCCGTTTCTGACTGGCTTTTGCAGTCCTTGGTTTTGCTTTTCCTCTGCAGATGATTCCCGTGTGGCTCTTCCTTGTAGCTGTGTTTTGTTTGGTGTAAGGCCATCACTAATTCTTGTAACGGTATGAAAATGCTGACCTGTTCCTGGTCTGAGACTTGAATTTCAAAGGGAAGGGGAAAGTATAGTGCTGCTGGAACCAACAGACTCTAACAGTACTTCAACTGAGAAAACCTGTCATCTTCCATTTGGCCAGTCACCCTTTCTGAGGCTGTGAGTGTCTGTATAGTAATAAAAGGTGGCACATATTGGGCTACCAGAAATATAAGTAAATGTCAAAGGAAGCTGGTGTCTGTAGTGGCAGTGGCAAGTTTGAAATCTTCATTATTGCGCGGAGGTTCTTGGATAGCAGCAGAAAACCAAAGCATGGCGGATTTACAGTTCCTTAGTTATCCTGAATGAGTGTCTTTTTATCTAAGGATGCCTTTTCAAAAGCTCTGAATGCAAGATGTTCTGAGTATCGTTAGGTTGCTTCATAATGTACGTGCCAGAAATGATCTCAGTATTTAGCTGTCTTATCAGCTGTTTTCCACTGATGTTTGTTCTTGGCAGCAGGCCCCCCAGTCAAACCTGAGCTGCAGAGGGAATGTGTTACTGCTTCTCAGGTGTCTCAGGGAGAGAAAGGAAACAGCTTTGCCTCCTAAAGTAGAAACGGCTTTGGCTGGTAGAATTCCTCCTAGCAGGTATGTAAGAGTGGAGGGATTTCAGAGCAGTTTCCAAGGGAAATGGTGCTCGTTTTGGAATCGCACTGCTCCAAAGGCACTTCAGTCTCTTGTCGAGTCCAGCTTGAGTGTGTCTTAAGAGTAATGAAGAGTTCTTGTTTGTTTTTTTGCCCAGTTGTTCGCTTCCCTTAATCCCTGTTACTTAGCTGCTCTGAAGCAGTAGGAGCTGTAGGAGCTGTAGGAAAGTTGGAGACTGAGAACTTTCAGTCATGATTTCTCTGTACTGCAGTTGTAATTAGAAATGGAGAAATTTATCAGTTGCTGGGAGGGAGGGAGGGAGGGAGAGAGGGAGGGAGAGGAGGGGGGAAATGCGGCTTTATTGGAGGGAGCGGTTATTCTTAGTGTCCAGCCTTAATGTAGTTTGAAAGTTAGGCTCTCATGGCTTATTTGCTTCCTGTTCTATTAATCGTGCTGACTTATTCTTCCTTCCTTGTACAGATTTACATACTGAGCAACCAGTGAACAGCAGCGGAATTTGTGCAGTCAGCTGCGAGCAGCGAAGAAGCAGAATGCACAGAAACTGCTCACGTATCTCAGGATTTACCAGGAGGTGGTGATGCAGCTTTTTAGGAAGGAGAAGAACTGCAAGCTCAAGTAGAGATGAGTTTAACTGGAAGTAGCCTTGCGTAGCTTTGTAAGGCTTAACACAGTTGTTCGTGTCTGGATTTCGTGTTTGACCCTAGCGTGCCTAATAGGATGAGAAGCTTGCAATGACTGTAATCTTCTAGTTTGGCCTCCTGTAAAGAACAGACCTTAATTGCAGGTTAGTGTAATGATTCAGAGCACCAATAAGCAGTAGGTAGTGTCCTTTAATTGGAGCAGCTGATCTGGTGAAGTCTGCAGAATGTCGTCTTCCTCTTTCTTCAATATCTGTCTGCCTTTCCTCATCTCTTCATCACAGTATGACTTCTGTGGGGTTCTTCTCGCCTTACCTGCTCTTTTTCTCCTTCGGTGTCACTTCTCCCACCAGAAATGCTTGTCTGTCACGCGTTTCTGCAGTTCTTCCAAGTTTTTCTGTAGCTTTGGAAGATGTGTCAATTGAAGAATGTTAAAAGCCAGTAATGCGCACGTAGAAAGCGTGGAGGACATGCAGCTGTGAGGCCTCCGTTTATTATTTTCAGTTGATTCTTGTTCTGTCAGATGCCAGCATGAAGTTATTTCACGGTCTTTAAGAGGAGAGCACCTGGGATGCTAACAGTGCTGCGTTATCACTTAGCACATCATTCAGCAGGCCTGAAATTTCGCTGGGGAATTGTGGCCAGCACACTGGATAGCTTAAGAATCAAACAACTTGCTATGCAGCGTGGTGCAGGCAGTGTTGCATTGCTAAAATGAATTTCAAACGCTGGAACTTGTTGGGCTCTTCCATTTGGAGAAGGCAGGGCTTTGCATTCACTTCAGTGCATGATGAGCGTCGAGCTGAGGGTACAAAGCCACTGAAGAAAGGAAAACGCTGAATAATTTTGCATTATCTGATGTCAGAATTGTAACAGTGCTGTAGGTGACAACGGCTTCTGGGGAAATCACGCATTACTGTGCTGTGTTTTAGGTGGAGGTAAAGTCTGGAGAAGAATGTGAAGGAATTGTCTTCAAAGAGAGGGCAGAACTTTACAGCTGGGCCAGAGATGCCGCTCAGCGGAAGGAGCTCTTGGAGAGCTGAAGCTCCTCTTCCGGACACAGCAGAAGTATTCCAGGAGCCTCGTGAGAAGGGGCCGAGTTGCTGAGGTGTGTGCAAAGCATGTCATCGCCACAGAAATGAACTCATTGCCCTCTGAGACATCAAACTGCTTGAATTTGGACAGCTACAGGTGATGCTGGTGAGTCGGTTGGGTGGTTTTTACAGTTCCTTCCGGTCTCTCCTGCAGTTTGGCTTTGTTTTACCCTGGAGATCCTACAGAACAAAAGCTGCTGATCTCTGGCTGCAGTGAGTAGAGCTAAGGAAATCTCTTCTTGGGTTTGTTTTCAGACGGTGAAGTGGAAGTAGAGCGAGTTGCGGTCAGATTAGAAGTTCAAGACCTGGCTGATTCTTTCGAGAGCAGATTGAAGAATGCCAGCAGAGCTTGTCAGAGCTGCAGAAGGGCCAGCTCTCTGTGGCAGCGGAGCTGTCAAAGGACACCGGCCCTGTTGTTGTGTATTTGGACGTTTCTGCCAGCGATGAACCTTCAGGACACACAGCCACGGAGCTGCTTTCACACATTGTCCCTCGGACGGCTGAAAAGCTCAGGGCCCTGTGCACAGGGGAGAAAGGCTCGTGGATTCAGGAGTACCACGTTTCACAGGATAGTTAGTGACTTCCTATGTCAGGTAAGCTTAACGTGAAGGCTTTTCACGGAGAGAAAAAGCCCACCTGGGCTGCAGCACCGCATGGATCCTGCCTGAAAGTGGGCTTTTCCAGTTTTTGACTGTAGTGAGAGTAGCCAAAATCAGCAGGGCTGCTGTCAGCAGCGACGCCTCAAGCTTTCCCGACACTTCTAGAGAGGATCACGTTTGATTCTTGGGGAGCTGTGACTTCATGGGAACGCCACAGCCTGCGTGTGAGACTTCATTTTGTTCGTGCTGTTATCTGCCTGATGGCTCCTCTTTGACAGCTGTTTGATTTGTGGGCTCTTAGAGCCAGCTTTCAGCCTTTGGCAGCAGCAGGAAGCGGAGCTCCCGACGTGTTGTAGGCAGCGTTTGCTCTGCTCAGGGGCCTTGGCTGCAGCGTGTGTGCAGAGAACAGCGTGCGTGTTTGGCATGGCTGTGCAGCAGAGAACAGAAATGGTAGTTTTGTCATTTTTCAGTGCCTCCCAGGACAGCACTCTGTGGTAGATCAGAAATTGGTGTGCGTGTTGGATTTGCTGTTTAGCAGGTGCATTCTCCTGCTGCATCTCTGTGCATCTCTGTATCCTACTGTACTTTGACTGCAGGAGTTTTCTCGCAGTAGGGTCAAGGCCACCCAAACTCAGGTCTGTTGTGCTTTCAGTATGGAGCCCTTTCAAGGCTTGATTAAGACCTGGCAGAGTAGAAGCCAACGCTGTGTGAACGACAATTCAAGAGTGTCCTTTTCTGGAACTGCGCCCACAAATGGTCAGAATTCACTGTAGGATGCTTGTGATTGTTTTGTACTATTAAGTTCTGTCCATGAGAGCTTGTTCTCCCTATTCTGTCAAAAATACTGTTAGGAATTCTTGATGGTACTGTGCTCTCAAGTATGCAAACCTTTTTTTCCTATTAGAGGCACAATTTTTATATCAATGCATCGTAGCAAGCCAGATTTCCTTTCCTCCTTATGGAAAACCAGATGCTTTCAAACATCTTTCCAGTGTCATGAATAAAGGCTCCGTTCTTAAAACCTGTATCCCCTCCGTTGTGTGAAGGCTTGAGCGGGGTGGAAAAGCAGCCAGGCAGCCTGCCTTCTTTTGTAACACTGTTGGGATTTTGGGCTGTGCCATGGGTTCAGTTGCTCGTAGTCAACAGCGATTCCTTGGAACTGTCATTCAGTTCAAGTGTGTTTGTTTTGTCTCGATTAGTTTTGCTTTTCCACGTGCCGCTGCCCACAGGCACAGCCCTGCTGCTCAGAGAGCTGGGAACAATCCCTAACTTGAGGCTGCGCAGCTCTGCCTCGCGAGGTTCCGTCCACCCCTCGCTGGCAGGGTGCAGCCATCAGCCTCCCTGGGCTCTGTGGCAGTCCTGGGCCCTTCACACATCCTGTTTGTTCAAGTTCTTGGTAGCGTACGCCGTGCTGTGCTGTGTCTGATGCTCAGCTGTGAACGATCCTGATCATCTGCTGCAAATGCACTCCTGCGCTGCTGCTGGTGGCTGATCTGAGTGAGCTGGCCAGGCAGTGGCCAACCAGTTCAGGCCCACATTTGCTGTCACGGTGTGTGGTATCGCGCTCTTCTTCCCGTTTCCCAGCAGATCACAGGGCCTTGCAGCAACAGGGTGTTGAGATCCGCGCTCTCTCGCCCGGTGTGGCTCCCTCCTGCACCGGGCACGAGGTCCAGTGGGAACAGCACAAGCATTTTTATCTGCTTGCTTGGGCTTTTTAGAAACCCCGATGGCAGAGGGCTTGCTCAGCTCAAAGCCAGAAAGAACTGGACTTGCTCTACTGAAACAGTGAAGAAGAGAGGCTGGAAAGGTCAAACGCCAGAAGGAATGAGGATTGCTGGGCCCAAAGCCGGAAGGAAAGGTCCTTGCTGGGCTGGAATGAATAGAGAAGGGTTTTGCTGCTCCTAAGCCCAGAAGGAAGAGGGCTTGTAAGACCATACCCAGAAGAAAGGGGGAGTGCTGGGCAACAAACCAGAAGGAAGGGGGCTTGCTGGACTCAAACCCAGAAGGAAGGGGCTTGCTGGTCCATACCCAGAAAGAAGTGGGTGTGCTGCGCCACAAAGCAACAAGAAGGTGCTTGCTGGGTCCTGAACTAGAAGAAAGGGGGCTTGCTGGGCCACAAATGGAGAAGAAGGGGGCTTGCTGGACTTGGTTAGGGTTAGAGTTAGTTTTAGGTTTGGGGCAGTGAAAGCTTAGGTTAGGGTTAGTGTTAGAGTTTGGTGTTAGTGTTGAGTTTTAGGGTTATGCTTGGGGTTAGGGTTTGGGCTAGGGTAGGCTTAGGGTTCGGTTAAGTTTGAGGGTAAGGGTTAGGGTTAGGTTCAGTGCTAGGTTTACATTTAGGGTTAGGATACAGCTGGGGTTAGGATTAAGGTTAGGATTAGGGTTAGTGTTTGTTTTGGGTTAGGGACTGGGTCAGGGTTAGGGTTGATGTTCAGGTTGGGTTAATATTAGTGTGAGGGTTAGTATTTGCAGAAAGGTTTAGAGCAAGGTTTCAGGTTTGCATTAGAGTTAGGGTTGGGGTTAGAGTTTGGGGTTAATTTTGGGTAGTGTTAGGGTTAGGGATTGGGTTTGGTTGAGGGTTAAACTTATGGTAAGATTTAGGGTTGAGCTTAGGGTTAGGGTTTGGAATTAGGTTTAGGATTAATGTTGTGGCTAGGCTTAGAGTAAGGTTTAGAGTCAGGGTTAGGGTTATGTTTAGGGCAGGGTTTGGGTTAAAGTTAGGGTTGTGGGCTAGGGTGTAGTATCCTCTGTACAGATTCCATTGTGATACACGACTGAACCATTTGCCATTTCACATTTAATCCTTAGGGGCACCGAGTCAATGGGGGTTTCACGTGTTCTCATGTTCAATACAGAACCAGCAGTGGCAGCAACGATGTCGAGACAACGACTTTCACAGGCATGAGAAGTAATGGAGATGTGCACAGTTCTTCCAGCCGCTGTGCAAAGAGCGAATCCAAACCAGCGCTCTTCTTTACAAGTCCCTTCATGCTGTGAGGTTTCTGCCAACGGTGGGTGTGCTTACAACAGAGACATGAGGTGAGCTCTGGGTTTTACTGACTCTTTCTGTTATGATTCTACGATTACTTTTGACCTTTTCGTTTTCCTTTTAGTTTTCTTTCATTGTTATTTTGTTCCAGGCGTGTACCTGGACAGAGCCCAGCAGTTCCATGATACCATTGTGTCCGTGATGCTTTCCTAGTGAAGGGAGTTTCACCTGGGTGATACCTCCTTGTACAGCCAAATGCACTGAAACAAAACGAACCTTGCTGTTATTCCTTTCATGTGGTCATTTAAGTGGCCATTTTAATACAATGTATTTTAATCAGAGAGATGCCAGTCAGTCAGAGATCCCCCACGACATCCTTATAGCAAAGCTGAGGAAGAGTGGGATGGATGAGTGGACAGTGAGGTGGGTTGAGAACTGGCTGACTGGCAGAGCACAGAGGGTCGTTGGTGGTGCAGAGTCCGGTTGGAGGCCTGTAAGCAGCGCTGTTCCTCAGGGGTCTGTGCTGGGTCCTTGTTCAACATCTTCATCAGTGACCTTGATGAGGGGATAATGGCCACCCTCAGCAAGTTTGTGATGATACGAAGTTGGGAGGATTGGCTGAAGGCCGTGCTGCCATTCAGCGAGAGCTGGACAGGCTGGAGAGCTGGGCAGAAAAAAACCAGATGAGGTTTAACAAAAGCAAGTGTAGAGTCTTGCATCTGGGGAGGAATAATTGCATGCACCAGTACAGGTTGGGGGATGAGCTGCTGGAGGGGAGCTCTGCGGAGAGGGACCTGGGTGTCCTGGTGGATGACAGGTTGCCATGAGCCAGCAGTGTGCCCTTGTGGCCAAAAAGGCCAATGGCGTCCTGGGGTGCATTAAAAAGAGCGTGGCCAGCAGGTCGAGGGAGGCGATCCTCCACCTCTGCTCTGCCCTGGTAAGGCCTCATCTGGAGCACTGCGTCCAGTTCTGGGCTCCCCAGTACAAAACAGACAGGGATCTCTTGGAAAGAGTCCAGCGGAGGGCCACCAAGATGGTGAAGGGCCTGGAGCATCTCTGCTATGAGGAAAGGCTGAGTGAGCTGGGTCTGTTCAGCCTGGAGAAAAGGAGACTGAGAGGGGACCTGATCCAGGTCTATCAGTATCTGAGGTGTGGGGGGCAGAATGGCGAGGCCAGACTGTTTTCAGTGGTGAGTGGAGACAGGACGAGGGGAAACGGCTGGAAACTGCAGCATAGGAAGTTCTGCACAAATGTGCGAAGGAACTTCTGTACAGTGAGGTGAGGAGCACTGGAACAGGCTGCCAGGGAGGTGGGGGAGTCTCCTGCTCTGGAGATGTTCCAGACCTGCCTGGATGCCGACCTGTGCGACCTGCTGTAGGAACTGCTTTGGCAGGGGGTTGGACTCGATGAGCTCTGAGGTCCCTTCCAACCCCTACAATTCTGTGATTCTGTGATTCTGTGATCCCAGCACCACCCCAGCATATACCACTACTACCCCAGCACCATCCCAGCACATCGCAGCACATCCCAGCACCACCCCACACAATACCAGTACCACCGGACACCAACCCACACCATCCCAGCACATACAAGTACCATCCCAGATCCTCTTAGCACCATCCCAGCACATTCCATTACCATCCCAGCCCCACTGCAGCATATACAAGTACTATGCCAGTAGCATCCCAGCACCATCCCAGCACCATCCCACACCATCTGAACATGTACCATTTCCAACCCAGCACATCCCAGCACAACCCCAGCATCTTCCCACCTCATCCCACACAATCCTAGCACATCGCAGCACAATCCCACGCCATCTCAGCACATACCAATACCATTGCAGCACAACTCCAGCACATCCCAGCACAATCATACACCATCCCAGAACATCCATGCACATCCCATCTCCTGCCAGCATCATCCAAGCACCTTCCCGCATCATCTCATACCATCCCAGCACATCCCAGCACATCCCACACCATCCCAGCACACACCATTTCCATCCCAGCACATCCCAGGGCCACCCCAGCACCTTCCAACACCATCCCACGCCATCCTAGCACATTGCAGAACAATCCCAGCACATCCCAGCACCATTCCAGCACATCCCAGCACCATCCTAGCTGAAACGAGTACCATCCCAGCACCACTGCGTGTCTTCCCAGCAGCATCCTACACCATCCCAGCACATCCAAGCATATCCCAGCCATCCCAGCACTATACCAGCACATCCCAGCACATCCCAGCACCATACCAGCACCATCCTAGTACCAGCAGGCACCAACCCACACCATCCCAGCACATAACAGTACCATCCCAGAACATCTCAGCACCATCCCAGCTCAAACAAGTACCAAACCAGCACCATCCCAGCACATCCCACCACGATCCCAGCACCTCCCACCACCACCCCACACAATACCAGTACCACGGGACACCAACCCCAGCTGAGCCCCTCGCCTCTCACCTAATCCCAATACCACTTCCCCAGGCTGCTCTCTAGCATGCCTAGCTTTATCCCCCTCCCCCTTCCTATCTAGTTTAAAGCCCTCTCTACAAGTCCCGCCAGCTCCTGGGCAAGTATCCGTCTCCCTTTTGGAGACAGGCAATTCCCATCAGCAGACCTCAGGCCAGGTGCCCAGTAGACCGCCCCATGATCAAAGAACCCAAAATTCTTGTGCTTGCACCAGCCTCTCAGCCATGCATTTACAAGATGGCTTTTCCTGCTCGTCTCAGCGCTCGTCCCTGCCACCAAGGGAATACTGGCAAACACCACTTGTGTGCCCGCTCCATCAACTAACTTCCCCAGTCTCCTAAAATCATTTTTTATAATCCTCAGGCTTCTAACAGGGATCTCATCACTGCCGGCCTGAACTATCAATAGAGGGTAACAATCAGAGGGGCGGATAAGGCTGGGGAGTTTTCTACAAATATCCCTGACCCGGGCCGCAGGAAGGCAGCACAGCTCCCTACGGGTAGGGGCAGGCCGACACATCGGACCCTCTGTTCCTCTCAGAAGAGTCACCTACAGCTACCACTCTCCTTTCTTTCTTGGAGGAGGCAGTCTTTAAACGCGGGGCTGACCGCCTCACCTTAGGCAAGCTTGGTGGCAGCGCTCCCACATTATCATCAGTCACCACCCCCTCTGGTTTCAGAGTTTCATACCTATTACAGAGAGGGACCAGGGGAACCGAGGCAGGTCGAGAACTTGGGGGTTGCCTGCGACGCCGGGATGAGACCAGCTGCCATTCCTCATCTTCTCTCAAGCTGTCTCTCCCTGTTTGACTACAATGAGAGATAGGGTCCGTTGTCCCCTCAGTCTGGGCAGTGCAATCTCTGCGCCTTTCTCGCAGAGTCACTCCACCAGTCCATCTCTCGTTCACACTCTCTGATGGCCCGCAGTCTGCCTACCTCCTCCCTAAGCTCCACCACCAGCTTGAGCCGCTCGTCCAGCTGCTCACACTGCACACAAGTGGCATCCTTCCCATCCTCCCCTGGCAGCAGCAGGCTGAGGCACTCCCGGCAGCCAGAGACCTGAACCGCCACATTATTGAGCAGACCCTCTGTCTGGGTTGCCACAGTCTTTGCACGGGAAGCACGTTTCCTGGTGAGGACCATGCCTGGAGAGGTGGTGTCAGGGCCTGTTAACAGGAGAGCAGGCACCTGAGAAAACAGGAGAGCAGGCACCTGAGAAAAAGACAAGAGCACTCAGCCGTGCTGACACAAGACACAGCCTCTGCTCCCCACTGCTGCCTTAATGAATGGGCAGTGCAGTGCTAGTGGCCCTCACACACTGACTACCTCCACCCTAAGCGGTCAGAGCACCTTTCCACACCTTCTGGCTTGTGCTATGTGTTATGTGGGCGGGAACCGGTTCCCACCCTCCCTGGTCTCTTTTTATCCACACAACAAATGGCCCAAGGTCAAGCTTCAAAGATAAAGAGCAGGAAGTGTCAGCTCCGCCCCTGGTGAGTCAGGAGCCCGCCCACAAGCTGCCAGCTGCCAGCCCAGGCACAGCACTGTCGATGCCTCCAAAAAAGTCTAAAAAAGGAGCTTTTTTGGCCACTTTTCTTCACTCCAGATCCCTTGCCCACCACAGTTTTACCTGCTCGAAGCTAGTCTCTGTAGCACCTTAACCCTAACCCTGACCCTAAACCTAACCCTAACCCTAACCTTAACCCTAACCCTACCCTAACCCTTATCCTAACCCTAACCCTAACCTTAACCCTAACTCTAACCTTAACTCTAACCCGAACCTGAACCCTAACCCGAACCCTAAACCTAACCCTAACCCTAACACTAACCCCAACCTTAACCCTAACCCTAACCCTAACCCTTACCCTAACCCTAAACCTAACCCTTACCCTAACCCTAACCCTGACCCTAACCCTGACGGAGAGCAGCTCAAGACGCCTGGGACAGACGGGCTGAGGCTCTGGTGGCGCAAGAAGCAAAGTTTATTGTTGTTACAGGGCTTTTATATCTTTTAGCTACAGGAGTGTACAATACTTCAATCAGATAGCATTCATGCAGCTGACAGCAAGACGTCATTACTTAATCAGCTCTTTGTGGATGATGGTCAGTACAGAGATCCAAAGGTGTTCTCTCCACAGAACACGTTCTGCTCTTGGTCACGGAACGAAGAAGCTGTAGCTTATGCTTGCCAGTTTCACATGGCAGTCCTTCCCTTTCAGGAGGGGCCGCGTGTTCCCTGTTTGACCCTTTCAGGCCAGCCAGGTCTGTTTTGCTTCACAGTCTTCCTCACTGGGTGATCTTTTAGGTCTGTTCCAACCTTGGTGATTCTATGATTCTATGATTCTAGAGGTGGAAAGAAAGTCTGGGGGTGGACAGGGGGTTGTGGGGAATCTACGGGGGGAAAGGTGTGAGTGGGGCTTCTGTGAGCTGGAAAGAGGGTCTGGAGGTGGAGAAAGGGTGGAAGAGGGAAACTGGGGGATTGTGGTGGGCTAGAAGCCCTGTGATGTGGAAAGGGGACCTGGGGGTGGGGAGGAGATTGTGAGGGAGAAAAGAGGAGAAAGGCTTCTGTGAGTGGAAAGGAGGGTCTGGGGGTGGAGGGGTACATTGTGGAGGGGAATATTGTGGAGGGCAACTTGAGGAGTTGAAAGGGGGAAAAGGGGTTTTTGTAGGGCAGAAAGGGCAGGTCTGGGAGTGGATGGAGGATTGTGAGGGGGAAAAAAAAAGGAGTGGGGTCTCTACAGGGAGGAAAGGGGGTCTAGGAGTGGTGAGGAGGTTGTGGGGGGCTTC